AATTGGCTTTTGCAAGATTACTTAGTGCATTCTCAAAGCAATCAGCTATTCTCTTCTTCTCCCTTGCTCTCCTGTGTGCGAAGAAATTCTTAGTGTTCTTCATTTCCTTTCAAGAACTCTTTGTGTTGTTCTTGAAAGTTCTTCTCATTGTAAGATTGTTTAGGTTAGGTTTTCCTTTCCTATCTTCCGCAACAATCTTTTGTATTTTTGTGTGTATTAATTCTTGATATAAATCAATAAGAATTAAAAAGTTGAAAAAAGTCTGTGTAATTGTATTCAACATAAATATTGCAACATGGTCCATACCTTCTAAATCTTCCTCCATGTTTTCATCATCATTAACACTTTGATTCATGCACACTCCATGTCTAGGTATATTAGAATGCTATCCAGGTTCACCTTTGGGAAAGAACAAACGATAGGACAACGGGTCATAACAACTGAAGTAATATTGAATATTTTGGCTATAATTAGACATCCCATACACAACAATACTTCTCTTGTATGCAGTTATGTTGTCGTTGCCTTCAACCCAAATACCAGCAACCTAATATAATTATAGAACTCAATTTATTTAGTGTATGTATCTAATTTTATTTCAAAAAGGATAAACCAAATACTTGTATTCAAACCTCTGATGTGGTCGGTCGGTTGTACACCCTTTAGTCAAGTTCCACTGAAGCATTCAAAGTGACTCTATAGTTCTCGAGTGGTCCGAGCTCACCAAGGTTTCGAAATGTTCTCACATATGGGTTCATAGAAAGAACACGAGTCAAAATTTCAATGACATTTCTATCAAGATTTGGCCACTAGAGTCTATGCAATAACTCTGATTCTGAATCATAAAAGTACAACTGTAAGTACCTAGGTTGTCCATCTCTCGGTACTAACTGATCGATTTTATGATATACAACTTCGTGCGCACGAAATGTATATACTCCAGATGTCATGTTTTCCTTTGAACTATCCAAGTTTACACCCATTGACATGAACGAAAAGTTCGTATTGTATGCACGTAAGTTGTGCCTAAACATTTCTCCTAATTCAGATTGTGATGAGAAAAGACTGTATAATTCTTCAGGAATGGGTGAGTATGCTAACTTTGTCTTCTCTTTCATGCAACAAAAGGAAGGGGATTCAAATTTTAACTGTTTTGCTCCACAATATTCACATGAATTTTGTTCCTTCAAAACACAATGTTTTCTAGGAATACCATTGTAAACAAAATCGTACAAATCCCCCGAGAGGATGTCATGTTGGCTCGAAGTATTGACATCGGTCCTAGTACAACCTCTTACATGATAAGACACTTGAATGTTTACAATAGTAATTAATGATTTTTTTCTCTAGATGATGTGAAATTTGAAAGTAACTATAACATCTGAATACTTGATTGGTAACTTCATAAAAAAGAGATAGGAGTATACCAGGCTTACTTCGAATGCCTATATAAGAAAGAAAATGTAATTTAAATGAGATTTTAATTACTAAAATTGGTAAAAGAATTAAAAAGAAAAAAAGAAATGCACGGTTTTACCGTTGAAGTTTTCATGTGTCAAATCCGAATATATTGGAGTCGTTTCTTCTTTGTCTGTAATACTTGTTCCTTGTGTGTTAACACTTCTATTTATTTTCTTTATTTCCATGATAATAATTTCTGTTAACAATTTTTCTCTTTTCAGCAATAGTCATTGCACTGACAGGGGTTATTTCAGTGACATTCACATGTGACGTCTCCATAAGGGTCATAGATTGGCTACTTCCTTCTTTGTTGGCTATTTTTCTCATTTTGTTCTTTTTCTTTTGTCGTTCACAATATCGTCTGTTGTATTCCTTTCTTTTTCCTGCAACAATATTGTTTTATATAAATATATATATATATACACACACACACACAATTGAGTGAATATATCATGATGATAATAATTAAAGTGAGTTTTCCATATACCTTTTGCAATATCTACATCAACTTGCGTTATATCACTATTTGCAATTTTGTCAGCACCCCATCCTCATTGGACACTGTAAAATGATAGAAATAGAATAATATGATTTTATTTGTGAAATAAAGTATAAATGTTGGAATTGGAATGAACAAAGTTAGGATAAGAAATTTCGAGATTGAACAAAAAATAACATGTCATCCTTGTCTTTTTACCTTGGTTGTCTTAAATAACAGTTTAGTAAATACATTTGTTTTTATCAAACATAGCACTCATTCTTTATTGGGTATCTAATAATTTCCTTACTCATTTTAATTAATAATTCAAAATATATAATTAATAGACAATGAAAAGACAACAATTAAACTTAAAACAAACATACTAATACATATAAAAGATACATATAAGTTCACAAATAAAAAAAAATAAAAAAAAAATACATGATAACACTAATTAAGTACTTTTATGTCATCAATATTCTAACGGCATCTGTTTCAGGCATGTGTGGTTCTAACACGATTGTAGTTAACTCCGTAGAACTCAAAAAATTATTTGGAAATAATCGAATATACATTTTTAATAAAAATAGAATATGTAAATAATAAAATAAAATATTTAAAAATAAAAACAACTTGTTACGTACTTTGAGTTGCACGAGTAGACAAATGAATGAGTTTAACTCGAAATGCATATATTATAGAATTATCTACGATTGCACGAGCTATCTCTATAAAACGGAATTGTGTCGAATCATACAACCTCATCTTTATTATATTCCCCATATTATGAGTAATAAAAATGTTAGTTACTATAATAATTTGTTAATTGATTAATAATATACACACTTAAGGTCCATCTTGGAGAAATATTTCAAAGAATCCAAATCGCAAATAACAATGAGTTCGGATAGATCTTACTCGTTGACCCGAGATGATTTTTCCAACAACATCTAAAACAAAAATTGTCATATTTTAAAAATTAGATTTACGTTATCAAACATGATGTTATTGTTTTAAAAATATAAAAGTATCAAACAATTTAGATGTACCTATCACAAATTTTCACGTACTCCGATCTTCTACAAGAGTTCTTATAGAAGGCACCAATGGATAGAACGGAAAGCCATTTTCGACATCCCCAACAACGGTATGAAGGTTGTGTTTCGGAAAATTAGGATGTAAAATTCATTGAAGGTGAGCATATAACATTCGTTCCTCACATCACCATGATGATATTCAATTCTGAAACGATTTAAAGAGAAAACGCCTCCCACCAAGTTCATTTGCTTGTGAATGTTAGTTCTACTGTCAAATCAAACAACCATTCGAGCAGTTCTAAATCAAGTGTTTCAAAGAACATATCTCATATTTCAAATAAGTTCTACAAAGGTTATGTCATTGAGTTTTGTTTGTAATGAGAATCCATTTGTTTCTAGACTATTTTACCATGTATTGTTGAGTCTACTAACCAGCTTATCAGTCTAAGCAAGAAAAGAATTTGTTGTTCAACTTGTGGAACAAATGACTTTATCAACAAGAAGAAAGCCAAAAATTGGTATGGCAAAGGTAAGAATGCAAATAGATGGCATGGAAGCAGCTGGAATGACAATACCAGATATGATGATAGCTGGTATGGAAAAGGCTGTAATGAAAATAACATATATGATAACAATTCGTATAGTACTTATTGCATATCTGACTTACCTATGAAGAGATCTAAAAAGAAAATAGCTGATATGAACAGATGGTTTGGTACATACAATATACCCTAGAGGCCCAGACCAAAGCTAACAAATTAGGACCCATGAAAGTATGGGTACCAAAATCTGTCTAATCTGTTTTGCAAGTTTGTCATGTGCTGAATACAAATACTCAATCACATAATAGTCTAATGTTTGGTTTGAGGAGGAATGTATGAAGTGCCATAATAGTTTATGAACAAATCAGTTCTCAATAACTGTGAGACAATGTAGCATATAAATAAATGAGAGACATTTAGCTCAATTAAGAATTATCGATTTGGAGGGAGGAATTTTTCCGCAGTTCTAATGGCTCGATTAGGTTTCTAACTGATTACAGATGAGAGGAAGTTTGGAATTAAGTAATGTACAATATTTTGTGTTTTCTTCTTTATGGTAAAAGTAATTGTTGAAAGTGTCACTCTACTGGTACGGGAGCCGGGAACAGGAGGGCAAGAGGGTGGACATATTAATTTCTTTTTTATTTAATAACATGGAATTTTAGTTGGTATTAAATAAAAATAAAAATGATAAATCAAATTATTATTATTATTTTTTTGAAGTATATAATATTTATATACGGCAAATATAACAAATAAACTCACACACCTTCTTCACCTATGGTGAGGTTTGAACCCCTGACCTACTAAAAGGTCAAGGGCTACGATACCGCTAGGCCAAAGGTCATTTGATATGATAAATCAAATTATACCGGCTCAACATCATTATTTGTAAGGTTATTAGGTATACAAGACCCTTAAATAAATGAAAATTTTGTCTCATACCCTAAAATGAATATTTTAAAAATTAGATCTCCAAAATAACGAAAAGATCAAAGCTAACTCCATTTTGATGCAATTTTCTTTTTTAATAATGCAATATTTTTTGAATAAAGATAATGATATGTCTTGATGATTATCATTTATTAGAACTCGTTTATTAGGGGTGTTTGAGATTGCTTATTTGAAACAACTTATGTTTTTTTTTACAAAAATCATTATCAACTTATTATAAGTTAGAATTGTTTATTTCTTCAAATATTCATTATTACCAGTTTGACACCGATATAAACTGTTTATCCAAATACTCAAAAATACTTGTTATCGGTGTCACACCAAAATAAGTCAATAAATTGTTTTATAAGGGGGTGTTTGGGATTGCTTATTTGAAACACCTTATTATTTTCTACAAAAATACTTATCAATTTATTATAAGTCATAAACTTATTACCGGTTTGAAACCAATATAAATCATTTATCCAAACACCCCCTTAACAAAAAAAAAAAAAAAAAAAAAAAAATGGGAACTAAAAGAAGTTTGCAGGTACAAAAAAGAAGCAGCCTATTTCATCTGCTCGTAATCGGAGAAGCCAAGGAGGCGACGACGTGAAGGGCGTTGGAGATATCAAGTGTATCGGAATCGGTTTCTGTTCTTCTCCGAGATTTCAAGTAGGTAATCATCTTCTTTTCTATATTTACTCCATGTCGATTTTAGGGTTTGTTACTGCTGAGCATCTATTGTTGCTTGGTTTTGCTCAAAAACGCAAATCGATTTCGGTTCTTCGACTGTTGCTTTCACTAATTACATATGGAAGTCGATTACAGTTGTATACGTTGTGAAGTTTGAAGTGTTATTGCTGTGTATGTGGTTAAGATACCCATGTAAACCCCCATGATCTGTGGTTTAAGTTTGAAGTTCATCTTCTGGAACATGTCCATATACTATATAATCTATATAATTAGGTTTTCAGAAGTGTTCTTACACTCATCCATATGTTTGATTCTGGGTTTCGTTTTCACTAGTGCAATTAGTGAACATATGATCTTGTAGAACAAAATTGCTCGACCCTCCATTAACGAAAGACAACAAAACTAACGCAAGTTTTGTTGCTTCAACAAACAATTATTAAGTATTAACATGTTGGTTTATTTATATTTGCTGCCTGATTTGTGGTTATTTGTTCCTACCTTCAATGTAAGATTCATGAAGTCAAAACAAAGGAAGAAAAATGGATGGACCGGATGAAATGGATGTTTAGATTGACAGGGAAAGTGATAATGCTGGTATTAGTGAGCTGTGTATGGAATTATGGATTAGCAATTTCTAGGGTACTATGTCATATGATAAGGGATATTGGATGTTTAAGACCTACTAGAAACACATCTATTGAAGAGGCTGTCATAATGTTTTTATGCACCTTGGCTCACAATTACAAACCATGATATGTGGTTCAAGTTTGAAGTTCATTTTTGGCAAACCATTGATGTGAGTTTATTTGTGGCCAAATGGCACACACTATGCTCTTGCTGCCAATGCTTTGATTGTAGAAAATAAATCTGATTCTTTGAGAGTTGAGAAGATGCAAGAAGTTGTGGATGAACTTCTTACTTCTTAGTATCGGCATATCTCAAGCTAATGTTGGTAAAACTCTTGAAGTTTTCTACAATGATCCCACCCAAGTTAAGGTCTTGTTTACTTTGCCAACTCATATGATATGATCCTAGGTGCTTGGGTTCTTGTATCCAAAACTCTAGTGAATGGATTTCAACATATGTAAGGGTTTTGTGAGAAACATTCAATATAAGCCTTTTTGTATTATATTGTGATGTTGGGTGGCTATGTAAGTTCTTTTTGAACCACTATGTAACATCACACATCAGTGCGTATTTGTATCGTATGGTTATGTTGAAGCTACAATTTTTTGTTTAGGTGATAAATTCATGATTGACTTAATAAAATTGTAGTAGAATTATACCAATACAATGCCTTGAGTTAGAGCACTCATAAGATATTAGAAATATTATAATATAAAACAAATTTTCATTGATTATATAATACACTGGTCATTCCCGTTCCCATTCCCCTGTGTAAAGTAAACAGGCTCTTAGTAATTTCTTTTAATCCCTAAGGCATTGGCATGCTTTTTTCAACTGTAATATTGTTTCTCCTTGTTGCAAACATTTATCACTTATCTCTCTTTTCCATTGCAGCTTCAATGTCTGCATATGAAAACGTTGTTGGTGGGAAGCTGAAATTAAAGGGCAAGGCCCTTGATGTGAAAGCTGGTGGAGTCAAGAAGAAGAAGAAGACGAATAGACAATTATCTGATCAAATCACTAAAAAGATTGACGATGAGAATGTTGACGGTTAGTTGCTTCAAAAACGTTTTAATTTATTTGTATTTACAAGTATTACCCCTTCCATATCAAAACAAAGTCCAATTTATAATTTTTTTTGTACTGTGAAAAAGTCCATTTAAAATTGTAACCATAAGATATATCTAGTGTTACAAAATTGCAACCACTTCTTAAAAGATTAGATAAATTACCATTCTTTTATTCTTCATCGAATCATGTGCAATGCCTAAAATTCTAGCCTGCTAATTCCTTTTTGGCACTTGTCCTTTCGTTCTGAGTTACTGCTTAGATACATGCAACATATTTTGGTTATAAATTAATTTATTGATGATTACTTGGCACTTGTTCTTTCGTTTTGGTTTCTTCTTCCTATTAAGTTTGTTATCTTTGGTAGCTCGATATATGTGTTTATGAGCATAAGAGTAATAGAATGATTGATTGGTTCACTGTTACTGATCTTTTTGATAATACACTTGGAAGTAGATCTGTCAATGGTTCAGATTTGGTTGGACCGGTTGATAATTTAACTTGACCCATGACCCAATTCATGGTCCAACTATACCAATTAGACGGAAAATGCCCCATATTAACTCATTTATGTAACCTTCTTTACTTAAGAAGAGTAAATACTGCTACTACAAATAATAGCACATATAAGTCTTTAAAACATAAGACCTTACCTTCTATCATATAACCTACTTTTTATAACAGTTGTAAAATACAAATATAAATACATCCCCACATATACAGTACACGTCTTTAAAACATAATACCGAAGTTTGTCATATAGCATTTTTTTATCATACATATTGATCTTAAATAAAAATGAGAAAGGGGTTCCACATATATTAACAGACATTACTACCGTTAAGGAATAGATGTCTGAAAGTGTACTTAGGGAAGCTTTGTTTGCAGGACTTTGTGGGATTTGGAATTGGATTCAATTCCAGTCCAGCGTAGCTTCCTTTCTTTATAGCTTTAACTGCTAGGAAAGAAAAAATAGCCTTGTTGCACCTATTCTCCGCAACCGTCGTTCCTTCGCTCATAAGCTAACTAAGAGCATGCCTTCGACCCATTTCGTTCAAAGGAAAGTCCGGAATTGAATGAAATCCCACAAACATTGGATTTAGAAATCCTATGGCGGTAGTTGGTAGGTATTTCACGTGATTTTCGAGGATTTTTTTTTCAATAATGTTTTAAATATGTTAAACATTCACTATGTAATAATCGGTTAATAAAAGATAATTTTATTTTTTTATAATTATTTATAATTTGTTTTTATGAATCCTACAAACTAAACACACCGAAGGTTCCAAATCCATCCATGAAACCAAGTCCCTCAAAAAAACATTTCATCGAACTAAAAGCCCCCTTAGTTGTCAAGATTTGGCAACTTCATGTGTTTTATCATGTGATAATAAAAGGTTTTAGTGTCTGATTTCTGAAGTGCATTGCCATGAAGCAGATTATAAGAACTCTCTTCATATAATATGACCAAATATAAAGTGAAAAATGTATTTAGAAGTGTTTCTATCAAGTGAATATGTAAACAATACATCTACTAATAGGTGCAAATCACTAAAGAAAACAGAAAAAATACATCTTAGGGGCCGTTTATCAAACACTTACCCGGTAAGTGCTTGTCGGTAAAATTTAACACTATTATGTACTTACCGGGTAAGATTTTAGTCCACCAAAACGACATAGTATACAACAATTTACCCGGTAAGTGCTTACCGTGGTAATAGTCGTCGCCCTCACTTACCGGGTAAGACTCTTGATCCTTGTCTCGCTCTTACCGGGTAAGGTTCTTGGTCCTTACTATATTCATCCGGTAAGGTAATGTTATTTGGTAAGCGCTTACCTGGGTAAACATTTGGTAAACGACCCCTTAGTCCCTGAACGAACACTATATTAATCCTACGTTTCTATACACTCTGTGAGACTCTGATAATGGAATTAAAAGACGACTTTATCCATGCACCTTGTTATCTTTTATAGGTTACACCTCAAACAGGAGAATAACCTTCTGAGGGTCCTTTTTAAGTGCATAACCTTCTGACAGATTTTAAGGCATGCTTGTGTTAGTTAGAGACATCTTTAATCTATCAGAAGGTTATTCTCCTAATAAACAAAATGAAACGAATGGAATTTCTTGCTTACCCTTGTTGATACGAAATATGTCTCCAACTTTAGCTTTTATGGTCCCTCCAAATGATAGACATTTGTAAATTGACATCTGTGTTAGATGGGCATATAGATTTTAATTCTCTAAAAAATTGACATTTATAATCTCAGATATTGGTGGAGGCACCATAACAACAACCGATCAGGAAGACACAAACGATGGGGACAAACACTTGGGAGAATCAAATCGTTCTTCTTACTTGGACAGTATGACTCCAGCCGAGAGGCGTTACATGGAGCAAAGGCAGCAAATTGACATGCACAAAATGGCGAAAACGTCAAACAAATCGCACCGTGACCGGATTTCAGATTTCAACCAGTATCTTGCTAATATGAGCGAGCATTATGACATCCCGAAGGTTGGTCCTGGCTAAGCGTCATGGCGATCCAAAGGCCATGGTTCGGTCTGTGTATTTTTCTTTTCTTGTTATCTTGTCTAGTGACTACAAGTCTTGGTTATATTGCATTGTGGATCATAACTTGAAATGGTCATCTCATGGGTTTCTCCCATGATTTGTTGGTTTTATTATGGTGTAAGTTTTAACTTCAAATTCTTGAACATACCCATATGCTATATGATCCATAAAAGTCCATGTTTTCTTTGAAGTATATAATATTTATATACGGCAAATGTAACAAATAAACTCACGCACTCTCCTTACCTTTAGTAAGGTTTGAACTCTTGACCTCCTAGGAGGCCAAATGCCAGCGGTTAAGTAGGTGGACATGTTTGTAAAATGAGTAGGAGATCTAGAGTTCGATTCAAGCACCACCTACCTCTCATTGAGATATGATGGTATGTGGGATGGGTAGAGTGGAGACTCTTCAGATGACGAGTTCATATAAAAATCCGTAATCCACTTCCCCAAGGGTGATGCCTGGAGGTTTCAGGTAGGGGTGAGCATAGGCGGGTACCCGCCCTTTTTGACAGGAACCGGAACCGGAACCGGAACCGGCGGTTCTTGAGATATTGGAACCGGAACCGGAACCGGTTAGAGCGGTTCTTAAATTTTTGGAACCGGAACCGGAACCGCCGGGAACCGGTTCCGG